CAATGCACAGACAAGTTTGAAAGTACCTGCATTTTCACTTGTATTTACCACTTTGTATTCTGCTCCTGCTTCTTTGCCTCCACAAGTCAGCAGAAAAAAGCACTCATATGTAAGATTTGTTGAAGGGGATAGAGAAGAGAATACACACTGACCCCGTAAATGACTCTTCATCCCCTTAGAACAGAGCCCCAGAGGTGAGGAAAAGCCCAGAGGCCCTCATAGATCATGGGAAAGCCCCAAGGACCCAAAAGCAGCCCCCCAGAACAGCCCCCCAGAGATGACAAGAGTACCCGTATAGACCTCAGGCTTTTTCCTTCACAGGCCATGTCAGGTGGAAGTGCTCCCAGGAAAGAGGCAGCTGAGTCTGACCAGAGGTAGTCAGAGCCACTCCACAGCAAGCATGCTGGCCTAGGAGAAACCACCCCCTGTAGAGAAGCAAGAGTGTAAGCTCTGTTCCCCTCTGCCTCTGACAGCCCCACACCAACCTGACAAAACCCTGCAGGGCAGTGGAGCAAGAGGACCAAGGATCTCATGGAGGTCAGGCAGAGAAAGCAAGGCAGAACAAAACAGTCCATAGCAATCCAGAGCATCCCTGTCTCCAGCTCAGATGACAGCAGGAAAGGTGCAACTCAGGACGCTCCACCAGGGCACCAGACATCACGAAAGCACCAAGATGTCCCAGAGACTCCATCTCTGCAGAGGGAAGTGCTCTAAATCCACCATGCCTTTACAGATGACTGAAAACACAAGCAAATCAGTAATGCCCATCCCGCCACATCACCCTGCTCCCAGGATCTCCACTCCCTCACAATCACTGCCTCCGTGCCCTCTCCAGAAAGCTGCTCCTGCAGAGAGACCTCCCCCATACACCCTCACCTCCATTACCCTTTTCATTGCCCTGTACCAGACAACCCAGCCCAGCCCCAGCCACGCTCCAGCCTCACTTACCCCCTGCCAGCCCAGCACACAGGGCTCTCCCCAAACCAACGGGCCGAGCCCAGCCGGGGGGCCCCCATGCCAAAAAGTCCAATTGTGGGCCTGCCTGCCTGCTCGCAGCTCCAGAGCAGCTGCAGGAGTGAGTGCTGCAACAGTAAATGCACATGCAGCAGTCCACCTTGGGGAGAAACCTCAGACCAGAAGGTAAGGAGAAAAACCAGGGAAAATCATATAGGCCCTCCAGGCAGACCCTGGCTGCCTGCTACCATTGCTGAGCAGTGTTAGCTCCCTCTTTCCCCAGTACCTTGAGGCAGTGTCACTATCAGCAGGCACAAGAAATCCAGGTTCCCCTGGTGACCAAAAGGAACTCTCTTGCCCTGGCCCTTATCCACTACAGGCAAGGAGAAACTCGCCCCAGGCTTCCACGCCATCCAGTGTGCCTCCACTCCGCTTCAGCCGCAGTGCCTGTGACGAAAGGGGCCAGGCAGTTATTTCCTTATTAGCCATTAACCAAAGGGCCCACTGGTATCATGCAGTATGTGCCTCTGAATCCAAACTGACATATTCCCCCCTGTTAATAACGTGCCACAGTGATAGCTACCTTATCCTGCCATTTCTTCCACCATTACCCCCATTCCTTGCCTCCTGTCACTGCCCATTATTTCCCTTTTCCTCCATACACTCCTCCAGAGCATTATTCCCTTCCACAGCTAGAACCCTACAGGCAAGACAGTTCCAGACCAGAGGAAAAAAAAAAGACGAGACAAGACAAGAAACAACAAACAACAACAAAACAGGATAAGAACATCCCTGAAGAATCACTATTTGTGCCAGATTCAGGAATAAGCTACCAGAAGAACACAATGAGCACAGAAAAGAGAGCCAGCCAGAAAACCATACATCACCAGAACAGTGTAGCACAGACATCCTGCTGGAAAAAAGGGCCAGAGAGTGCTGCTCACCAGAAAATTGCCAGAAGCACTGAGACTACCAACAGCAACATGGCTATCCCAAAAGACCTAGGCCAAGAATATCACAATACACACAACATGAGCACAGACGCACATCTCCCACTCCCTGCATTGCATGTTCTTCTTCCTGTGTGCCTGGAAACCAAGTCAGCAAGTCACAGTCACAAACTCAGCTTTTCTTTTGAGCTTTGTTTCTCCTATGTTATTTGCTTATTATAAATACAGTCTCAGCTCAGGGAATCCTGTATTTTGTCTCCTTCCCCAAAAGCCATAAGACTATGGCAGCTGGCCAAGATTCCCTTATTCCCTTCCCAAGGACCCAAAGGAAAAGATTAATTTACTGTTGCTAATAACCAATGCCTTGCTTCCCATCTCCCTTCTCCATTAGAGAGCTAACCTCCAAAGGTTAGAGATCTTTCCTCCAGCAGACGCCCCCCCCCTAAAATCCACCTGCACCTCCCTTCTCGAAGGGAGCACCCCATTCCCTAAATGGTTAAACAACATAACCTCTCTCACCACAGAAATTCAGCACTATTAATGCCCCAAATCATTCTTTCCTCCCGGGACCAGCCCTACTTCTCAATGCTTAAGAAAACACACATCTTCATTACTTAAAAAACCACTCATAAAACCATAATAACCATTGCAACATTCAAGTAGGAGCCCGAAACGTAAACGATTTCAGCAGAGCGAGGTCCACAGGTTCAGTACTCCAGAACACTGGCCGCAGCCCTTTAGGAGGGGGGTGGCAGCCCCTGATGAGCCACAAACAGCTGAGCAGAATTGAGCCCGTTTCCTACCACGTGGAGTTCGCGACACTGCGCCCGTGAATGGGGACCGCGCCCTGCTACTGCCGCTTCATTACCTCTTCC